GAGATCGGTGATTTTATGAATGATTCTTTTTTGGGTTCCAGAGGCCACTCGTGTGGGTTTGGGGAGTCCAATCCCAACCACTACCAGGGGCAGGGGCCGGGGTGGAACTCTGTCCCTTGCCACCTTGACAAACCCACCGGAACGCCCCTTCTCCCTACGCGCACCCCGTAGCATACCCAACCCACATTTCTTTCTTCACCACATTACTATGGGATGTGTATCTATATCCATCTCATGCATTTACTACTTCTGCCCCCGTTATTTATGTCAAATATACGCCAATTTTGAGCGCAAGCAGGCTTACACATCCTGTGTTTATGTTTGGGGATATGGCTGGCAGTTGCTATCCCAAGGCTGCAATTTTGGTTACTAGTAATTACTAGTAGATGGAGATTTGAATATATTTTCAGCGCTGCAGAGTCAAATATTTGGAACACCTAAGCAAAGCAAGCAAGCTACCAAGTTTTTGTAACTCACTCATCTACACCTTCCCCCACAAAAGAAAATATCTACACATTTACGTAAGACCAGGGGATTACCTTCCATTCAGATAAGTATAGTAACCGTGGTCAAAGCCTCGACCGAGGTTCAACAATCTATAATGTCCGCCCCCACGAACCACGACGGGAAGGGTAGCAAAAAATGGTTCTGGATATTTTAGAAAAAAAGTAACACAATTTAGTAGGCGACGAATCAGATTTCAGATGGCGCAAGCGACAAGACCTGATTGGTCACATATGCCACTAATAGGTTTAAGTAATCGCAGAGTAACAAACTAATGAAAACGGCAATATATCATGCTAGGTTCAACAATGTCTGTAATGTATGTTGCATGGTGGGTTGGGTCGCAGAAATGGTTCAAACAATTTGGAAGTAAGACAATTTAATAGGCGACCGGCCAGATTTCATATGACGCAGGTGACAAATTTTTTTGTCACAAATAACGGTACGAGGTTTATGTAGTCAACAATAAGCACTGCCGAGGACAACGGGATAACTACTTCATTACTTGGTTGATAACGGTAACCTAACATGTCGTGCTAGATAAAAAGTCGGGCGGATAAGACCAATAGCAATGACTTTAGAAGTTTCCAAATAAGTGATTTCATTATTTTTATAGTTGTAGGCGATGACGCGTGACAAGACCTTGGTTGCAATACGAGGTTTTCGTAATCACACCATTAACACACTAGCGAAAATGACAAGCTAATGAAGTTAGTTTCGCTAACCGGGCACATAGATCAAGACACAAATTTGCAAAGATAAGACCGGTAGCAATGATGAAACTCATGGGCACTAGCACCCATGGTTTATTGATATAGGAGAAGCATCCCTTGTGAGAAACCAGAAATTCGTCCCCGACGTGGCTCGAACCCTGGTTGCTGGAGACGCCACTGCGCTCCCTTGCCACTAGGCTACAGCCTAGTTCTCAAGACCGGTAGCAATGAAATTAAGAGAATTAGCATGGGTAAAAAAATAACAACCCCAATTGGCTATAAATGGTAGTAGGATGTTTCCACGATCACGAAAAGAACACGATAGCGAACATGACAAGCTCCTTCATTGCTCAAGAATCCAATTCATAATTGTAACCGTACATCACGCTAGATACAATTTTGCAAAGCTAAGGCTGAAATCAATGCCTTTATGAACTTCCAAAGAATTTATTTTATTTTCCATGTTTATTTAATTGCAACAAATGACGTAAAACAAACTAGTTTCTCATAAAGGCTAGTAGGAGGCTTCTGTAGTGCAACACTGATGTTGGGTTGACCATGCTTGTCCACATTATTGTTCGGAATCAAAATGAGTAATGATAACCATATACATCACGCTAGAAACAATTTTACAAAGGTAATCCTAGTAGGGATAACTTAAATTGTCATTTCCCGTGGGTTCGGCTGGTAATGTTTCATACTGACATTTGCAGAGATATGACCACTAGAAATGACTATAAAAGCTACCAAAGAGTTCATTTTGTTGTTTCCATAATTGTAAGAGAGGACTCATGACGAGCCTTGTTGGTCATAAATTGCAATATGAGGTTTTCTTAATCAAAATAGTAACACAATAGCAATAATGCTAATCCACGTAATTAACTAGTTATGTGAAAATACTTGTCCCTAGGTTTGTTTTGGTGATCAATGACATCATAACTCAAGGGACAAATGAATATTCAAATCTATTTCAGATGATGTCCCAAAAGAGGAAACTGCAAAGACCTTAAGTGTGAACGTATCTATGTGTTATACTAACAACCATATGAGGCTATAAATAATGCTAGTGGGATTGGAGTAAGGGTATCTCTCTCTCTCATCTGTTCTCTCATCCCTAACCTAGACCACTCGAAACCCCAGAATCGACAACATTCACCATGAGAGACTGATTTTGTCCGAACCAATAACTAGAGCAGAAACTGGAAGTTGGATCCAGTTGTTGAGAAGGGAATGAGGAAAGACAGAATCGGAGATGGAAACAAGAATTAATATGCTCACTCGTATCTAGCCAGTAATGCACTCAATTGGTACAGTGAGCGTGAAGCAACAGTAAGAACCTGAGTAGCTTTTACATGGGGAAAGCTTAAGAAGGAGTTTAGAAGAGCTATTAGACTTGTAAGATTGGATGAGAAATTGAAACCTGAGTTGGAGCCATCACAGGATGAATTTTTTCCCTAGTAAGTCAGACCGTAAGGATGATGAAGGATATTTTGAGAGCCTCACATTTTCTAGAGTAGTTACCCAGCCAGAAGCGGAACATTGTATTTCGAATATGGAAGAACACACGAGGACAAGTGCCATCGAAGAGAAGGATATGGTATGATACTGAAAGGAGGACAAGTGCCATCGAAGAGAAGGATATGGTATGATACTGAAAGGATCGACAAGAGGGGTCTAGAGGGGGGGGGGGATTAGACCCTCAACAAGCAAAAGTAGCAGTTTTAAGTTCTTCAAGTTGAGGTGGAGTTTTAGCACAAGTTTAAAAATCCACAACACATTTCAAGCAAGCATGGCAAGAGTAAGAGCAGCGGAAAGTGTAAAGCATGCTAATTGCAAGAAAGTAAAGGGATGGGATTGGAGTGTGCAAATGCAATGTAGACACAATGATTTTTGGCGTGGTTTCGATAGGTGGTGCTATCGTACGTCCATGTTGATGGAGACTTCAACCCACAAAGGGTAACGGTTGCGCGAGTCCACGGAGGGCTCCACCTACAAAGGGTCCACGAAGAAGCAACCTTGTCTATCCCACCATGGCCATCGCCAACGAAGGACTTGCCTCACTCAGGTAGATCTTCACGAAGTAGGTGATCTCCTTGCCCTTACAAAATTCTTGGTTCAACTCCACAATCTTGTCGGAGGCTCCCAAACGACACCTAACCAATCTAGGAGACACCACTCTCCAAAAGGTAATAGATGGTGTGTTGATGATGAACTCCTTGCTCTTGTGCTTCAAATGATAGTGTCCCCAACACTCAACTCTGTCTCGCAGATGTGGATATGGTGGAAATAGGATTTAAATGGAAAGCAACTTGGGGAAGGCTAGAGATCAAGATTCTTGTGGTAGGATTGGAATATCTTGGTCTCAACACATGAGTAGGTGGTCCTCTCTTAGAAAATGAGTAGTGGAAATGTAGGAACGTTATGATGGCTCTCTCTCATACGGAGAAGGGGGTGGAGGGGTATATATAGCCTCCACACAAAATCCAACCGTTACACACATTTGACCCAACTCGGTCAGACCGAATAGAAGAACTCGGTGAGACCGATTCAGTTCAAAATATGAAAGTTAGGAATCTCGGTGAGACCGACTACAACAATTCGGTGGGACCGATGTGCTAGGGCTAGGGCAAAACCTCATCTCTGTGAAGCCGATTGCGTGAACTCGGTGAGATCGATTTCTGCAAAGAGCAAACAAAGAGTTGGCCAAGCAAACTTTGTGGGACCAACTGCACATTTCAGTGAGACCGAAATAATTGCAATAGGCAACAGAGAGTTTGAAAGGCCATCTCGGTGAGACTGAGATCTGTATCGGTGTGACCGAACTATCTAGGGTTTCTCGCAATGGCTATGTCAAATGAACTCGGTGGCGCCGGATGGATCATTTCGGTGGGGCCGAGTTTGACTTTGGGTTTTGGACATATGTGGAAATGGGAAAGTGGGTGAGGGCTTTTGGAGCAATATCACTAAGCACTTTGAGCAAGTAGACCATTAAGCAACACCTCATCCCCTTTTAATAGTATTTGCCTTCCTATGGACCCAATGTGATCTTGGA